GGGCCGGGTGCGGTGGGCGAGGCCGTGGTTGCGGGGGTTTGATGGCGTTTGGGAGAAGATAGACACGGAACATCAGCGAGGAAAACTTCGAATCGGCGATCTTAGGGAGGCAGGGAGCTTCCACCACATGTTCCTAGGCAAGATATAGGCACGCCACTAGCAAAAAAAAATAGGATACAACATTTTTTAGTTATAAGTGTGTGAGTAAGACAACTAGCTAAAGCGGTGCTTTGACTAAAGCTTCCTACACTTATTGGGATATAGAATATTTTAAGTATGGTAGAAAGCTTTTCTAAATAGACTGGCGCATTACAATCCACCTTAACAGGGTTCCTTGTTGCCATGCTTCTAATGAAGTTAAGGCAAATGGGATGAATACTTTAGCATTTTAATCTTCTTAGCTTTCTCTTCTAATGTTTACTTCACCATTCGATATTAGAGAACTTTTCCACTCTGAAGTTATACTTCCATAATATCATTAACGTTATTCTTCATGGAATCATTCTCATCAAACTCAACTCTAGTTCATTAATAGATTGTAACTCTTCAAGGCCTCTCTCTATGGACATTTAAAAATCACTGAAATCTATTGAAGTTTATTCCTTAGAGTTATTGGAATCACTCTGGATTATACGCTTTTCTAAACATAACAGATTGGGATTTCATTATCAAGGAAAATATGGTATGCTATCTACATTAATTTCAGCGTTAAAGATATAAATCCCAAAGAGTTGCTAGATGGTTTTTCCACAAAAAGAGATTTCTACTTCAATAATTGTTGCACTTGTATGATCGTTTTAGTCAAACCCATTTAAATTGGATTTAAGATCATTTGTGATGAATTTACCCTAAGTAAAGATAAACATCATCATTTCTCGATCAAGCAGAAGGATAGGCTACTATCAAATGACTCATAACTGCCTTGTATACAAATGCAAAGCTTACACCAATTACCAATGATGATCGCACCACAACAAACTCTCCAGAGAGTTCTTTGTACCTCAAAGTTGACGCAATATCATTAATGCTGAAGTTCAATTACCAACAAGTTGATCAACGAGTCAAATTAGACAACCACATGGGATGAAAACAAATTATCAAATGACCCCTGCAATGCCTTGGCTAAATTCTTCCTTGTTTGATCAGATTTGCACCTATAGTTATTATTTTATCGTAATTATTCTCTAGCATGCACTTGTTCACTTTAGAATAAGCATGATGTATTGAACTCAAAATTATTAAAGATTGAATTATTAAAAAAATTAAAACTTTCATCCATCCATGAATTGGAAACTGTTGTTCCATTCCTTCGTCCCTAGCTAAAAGTATGAGAATCAAGAGAATAATGCATATACGTGTTCATTGACTTCATATGTCCTCCCCTCACGGTTACAAAGTATTTTGAATTTTCAAGTAGTACGTTGCTTTGGTTGAAATGCTCATTTTCTTCATCAAGGAATAAATAAATATGCAAGCAATCTTCAACCTTCATTAATTTCCTGGGCCACGCCTTCTTCGCTCACTAACCTTTAACCACAAGAGGAAGAAAAACTCTCATATGCTCTAAAATAATATGGCTGATAATTAAGGTTTTCTTTAAAACGGATAAAGCTCTGGTAGGCCACAGTTATTAAGTGAAAAACATATTTCAGAAATTCCACAAACCTGAGCAGCAGAAGGAAGAAGAAACGGCTCATTGTCAGGATTAATTATTAGGCGGCCAAGAAGTTCAGCAGCTGCGCAATGCCATGCCTTCACGGATGATTCCAGCATTCTCATAATGGCATGCACTGCATCTTTTTCCCTGTTTTGATAGAATTTAAATTAAATGAATACAAGACAGTAAAACAGACACAATAATGCCTTTATGATAAAATTGCCTTACGTTATTTTTACGAAAGAAGGCTTTGATGAGCTGAAAATTCGAAGGTCAAGCAGAGGTGACAAATTTACTAATGTCTCAAGTGCATTGGTTATGAGTTCTTCATCTTCTGTTCAATCACACAGCATCGCATTACTTTCAGCAGAGACGACAATCGAACAGAGAAAAGAATCGAGTTTACATGTAAGAAGTACATTTCGTGCCCATCTATCATGCACCATTAAAAGGTAAAAAGATCCATGGAAAAAAATACTTGAAGAGATTAGTTCATTAATTATAGGTTAAAACTCATTCATCACAACAAAGTGTCAATAACACAAACAGGGCATAAATAAATCACAGTAGCAATATTATTGAAGCATAATTCTCTTTGTTCTTGTATTTCATCAAAAAAGTTATCTGCACTGCCAAAGAATTTCCTATAAATAATAAAACATATGAACTATAAAATGTTTAAACACTTAAATGAGAAGAAAATAATGTTTACCCATATATTGATCTTCAATGGATTGGAATAGTGTCTCCAAGCAATGCCTATTTTGAGCCATAATTATCTCATTTTCAGGCATGAAAGAGAAGTTGCGAATGATATTTGAAGCAGCAACTGCACATTGCTGTTTTTCTGAGCGTCCTTCATCATCAAGATTAAATAAACCATCTTCTTCAAACCACCACTCTGAAACCCGGTTCTTTGAAGCCTTGCGAACTGAGGTATCCATGTTCGACAAAGCATTCCCTGAGTTGCTATAAAAGAAAATTTAAAGATATAAAATTCTACAATTGAAATTGTGACGTAAATCAAAACAAAAAATGATCGACTAATAATGACAATGACAAAAGAGCAAGCAATACCCAAATACTAGAAGTACATGAAATCAATAATCATAGTAAAGCAGGAGAATTGTCCAAACTTAATCAATCGCAATGAACATCGAACAAAAAATGCATATTTGCTACATGAAGTTGGTAGATTTTGAATGCAGGGGACAAATTTATTTCAGAACAATGAACAGAGGATGATGAATAATACAGCTATGTAAGAAAGCAAATAAAAATTAAAAATATATATATCCAACAGCATTGACAAAGTTATAAGCTATCCATCCTAACAAAGGTTAATATTAAGAGCAGAATGGACATAATGTTGAATATATAATTTAAAAAAAATGAAACTGTTCAGGTGAATAGATAAATTTAGGGATATATCGATTGCAGCTATCCATCCTAACAAAGGTTAATATTAAGAGCAGAATAGACATAATGTTGAATATATAATTTAAAAAAAATGAAACTGTTCAGGTGAATAGATAAATTTAGGGATATATTGATTGCTTTAATTAATTATTGATGAGAATATCAAGAATGCAGTTAGTTTCCATGGTCATGTTTATCTTCAATTAACTTAAATCTGAAAGTGACGTAAGTAGTCATAACTAAGAAATCAGTAGCCTTCATCAAATTGACCATAAATTGACCTAATAACTCACTTGTTGGTGCCTGATATTTTTCATAATTTCCTAACTTTAAATTTTAGAGTGACCTTAAAAAAAATTTAAATAAAAAAGGATAAAAAGATCTAGATCTACCACAGCCAAACACAAGTGAACCGAAATCCAATGCAATTCAAGGTGGTCGACTCAACCCACATCAACAAAGCTAGTAGAACCAACCTGCTTTTATTTGTTAGTCTGATTCCCCAAAAAAATGATGAAGATCGTGCACTAATACGCATGCCAATGCATGCAGCTGCTTCTAGCCAATGTCCATAGTTGTTGTTGAGAGGAAGAGTCTGATGGAAGTGATAATCATTAAGGCTCATTTAGTATGGCTCCTATTTAAGGAGTTAGTAGATCCTTAGGGAAGAAGACTGCTGAGACAATGTAATGGCAAAAGGAATGAAATTGTGTTATACTTTCGAGTTATATAGCTCATGTTGCCTTAGCACCCAGCTCTAGCTCCTTTCTTTTTCGGATCAAACTTGGCCATTGTTTGCCCATAAGAGCCTACATCTTTAACATACTTTTCACATGCTACAGATTCCTTTGCAGATGATGACTCACTGCCCTTCTTCTCCAAGCAAGAGTCTAAGTTGTGTTGCTTTCAAAGTGTGTTTTTTGAAGCTCTAAATAAAATCTTCTTTCAACACAAATAAAGATTGCGAATCTGATCTCCCATCTTTTATGTGGTTTTTCCCCTTCTACGGATCACACTTGAAGTGTCTTCTGATGGCAACGATGCATGCTTGCCATTCCAAATTTGTGCAAAGAGGTTGGTTCAGTCATGGAGTTATTTTGAGTTTGCTAGAACAAGTCTTATGGATGCTTGCTTGTGATTAGTTCCCATGACTAATTCATCAGGAGTTTCACTTAGGAAACTCCTATGATGAAAATTTGAAGGTCATCAGACTGAGTAATCGACAAGTAGAGTCAATCCTTCTCTAGGCCATGTGTGTCCTCTTTGGCACTTTTTTCCTGATTGGGTTAAAACTAACAAATCTTTCTAACAGTTCACGCCTAATTAAATTTGACTCATTCATGTGAGAAATAGTTCTCGCCATTAAATTGGAATAAATCGCTTAAACTACCCTTGCTTGTAGGGATACGTTATAAAGGACCATCAATTCATCAGCAAGTAAGCAGTCTTTTTTGGCCCCAAGGCTATAACCATAGCAAACCAAATCACATCAACATGGCATAGGCTCCTTGGCGGGCTAAAAGTTTCATAACTATGACCTTTCTCTGGTGCATTGACCTCAGTGTTGCAATAAAAGAGGACTTTGGAAAATCAACAAATTAATTGGTGTAGTTGCAACGTGAATCCAACCATTTGCTAAGTTTGATAGGGCCAGTAAGTAAAAGACCCTCTATAGTAAACATCCCTAATATGTTTTTGAAGGATTTCTTACTTCATAGATGAGGGGCAAAGTCCATTGAAACTGACTTCATTTACTTCGCTGTAGATATGCCATTTCAAAATAGAGGATGAAGAATATTATGAAATTAATCCAAATGGGATTAGTCTTTTTTCCTCAATTTGTTACGATTAGTTTAGTATTCATAATTGATCATATTTTATTAGGCAAGAGATAGTTTTTAAGTAGGAATGCAAATCAAGACAGTGATATTTAAACTAATATAAACTCAACCAATCTAACACACAAGCAAACCAATCTAACACACAGGCAAACGGCCACCTAGAATAATCTGAATCATTGGTGCGATTTGAAAGTGTTTTTTAATTGTGTGATCAATTTTATGATGATCGAAGCAATCAAATTCTTCAAAAGAATGATTCACTACATCAATTCTAAAAGTCAGTTTCATTTTACTTAGGAAGACTATCTTCCCATAAATCATGTCAAACGAGCCTCCAAAAGTCAAGAGAATAACATCCAACTTCGGAAAAAATATTACATCCGAACTCCGCATGCAGAGCTGCTCGCGGAGTCCAATCTCAAGCTGACACGTGAAAAGTCGGGGTTCACCTACATATAAAATGAAAAAAATAAATGAAAAAGTGTGGCCCGGCCCAATCGATGTGTTACTTACCCTTGCCGATGATTTATATGAATATTTCATCGCGTCAATTATATTCCTCCGGATTTCAGAGTCTTGCCCATGTGTTATAAGAAAATATTTGATGTGTTATTTATATTCATCTACGTTATTTATCCTTTGCCGCCGTGTTATAGGAAAATTCTCTTGCATTATTTTGAATATTTTTCACGTTATTCATGTGTTATTGGTGTGTTATTGAGGTGATTTTGAGTTGTTACTATTCTTTAAACAACAATATCAACTCAAAATCACATTCATAACACATGAATAGCACATCAGTAGAAATTTTAATCTTGTCATTGGATTGTATCACCTCAATTACAGATCAATAACACATTAAAAACAGTGACTGAGGTGATTTTGAGATATTATTATTCTTTAAACAACAATATCAACTCAAAATCACCTCCATAACACATGAATATTACATCAGTAAAAATTTTCATCTTGTTATTGAATTGTATCACCTCAATAACACATAAATAACACATGAATAACACACCAATAATACATTAAAAACAGTGACTGAGGTAATTTTGAGATGCTATTGTTCTTTAAACAACAATATCAACTCAAAATCACTTTCATAACACATTAATAACGCATCAGTAAAAGTTTTTATCTTGTAATTTGGTTGAATCACCTCAATAACATACTAATAACACAAGAATAACGTGAAAAATATTCAGAATAACATGAGAGAATATTCTTATGGATTGAATATTCTTATAACGCATCGGTCAAACCGGGTCGCACGTTTTCATTCTTTTTTTTTATTTTTTATGCAGGTAGGCCCCAACCTTCCACATGTCAGCTCGAGATTGGACTCCGCAAACAACTCTGCATACGAAGTCAGGATGTAATATTTTCTCCCAGTAGGCCCCAACCTTCCACATGTCAGCTCGAGATTGTACTCCGCAAACAACTCTACATACGAAGTCAGGATGTAATATTTTCTCCCAACTGTGAGACTATTCTTAACCCTTTTTGGAAATTTCCCCAATTTCAGAGAACTTTAATACTTATAAAAGTTTATCTTAGGGAAGAAAAAAGGGGATGTTGCATTTTAAATCTCGTTAAATGCATTGGGAATCTTTAAAGCAACATTTTGTTTTTGTTTTTTTCCTTAGAAATGGGCAAAAAATAAAATTTACATATCTTTCATAATTTTTTATGATTTATTTCAATTTTTTAGTTCCCCAAGCTATTTTTATTTTAAAAAAAATGTTAATGTGACTTTCTGTAAGAATTCTTAGGGTCAATTAAAAATATGGTTTTAATCAGTAGTGTGACACAATCAAAGAATAGAATGTGTCAAACAGAGTCCACCCACTCACATTTTGAAGTGGTAATGGAAAACTGCATACCACTTAGTGTGTTCGATAGTGAAATGAGTCCCATTTTTATTGAGGTGACGAAGTTAGTTTTTATAATGCCTCAATGTTAAACAATATCATATTAGCTTGTTTGTCATCTCATGTGCTCTCTAATTGATCATATGACAAATTACAAATTATGTCAAATTTGAATGCCATATGTCACGATTGGACCCAAAAGTTTAAGATTATTAAAGTGGGAAAAGATATATAGACAAATTTTTTTCTTTAAATAACATATATAAGAATTTATAAACATAAATTTTTAATTTACAAAAGACTCAATTAGATCCAAAAGTTAACTAAAAAACTATCCATCAAATACATCAAAATTTAAATGTTTTCAAATACAACCGATACAAAAATTTATTATATTACCCGTGTCTTGCAGCTCCTCATCGACTATAAAGAATCCTCTCTTTTCACTAATTTAGCTTCAAACATTTGCTTCCATAAAATAATTTTAAAATATAATAACATAAGGCTTAGGAACCAATATACATGTAAAATTCTTTTTTAAAAGATAAACATTTCTTATTAATACATTTAAATAAAATTCATTTGTATCAAGTTGTTATCCATTCCTTGTTTTTATCAATCTAGTATTTAAGTTTTGTATGACATACATCGATAACAAGAACAACATCTAAAATATACATTTAAGATCCAAACATCTTAATATTTTTTTTATGTAATCCATGAGGGTAGACAAATATTTTTTGCACAATTACAATCATCATCAACTAGTACTAAATGGAGCGACACTACCCATCTACATGTAGATGCAAGCATTCATATACAATAATTCATT